CTTGGATGTGGAGCAGTTTGGCGGCAAGTTACTTTTTTCGTTTTAACTATTAGCTGGATGCAATCTGCAAGGAACTCAGCCGCGGCAGGCTGGACATTCAGTGAAAATTCGCCCCCCCCAGCAGGCCTCTGGGAGAAGGTGTCAGCCCCCAGAGTCACTCAGGCTTTCCTGGGTAGCTGCTTCATTAGAGCATTAAGGCCTGTGGGGTCCGGCTCACTGAATCTCTCACTGATTCGCTGAGCGGGCCCAACGTTTCGCTGGAGCCTCTGTGCTGTAGTTGTAAATTGATGATGGTGTTAGTGATCGCACAGCCCTCCCCGGCTGTCCACCCCCCCTCAGATTGATGGTGCGTCAGAGCTGACAGCCGGCCCTCCATCAATCAGCCGGATCCCAGACCGATTCCCCCCCCCCCGGGAGAAAGTGCCATGGAGTCTCCAGCGGACCCGCTGGCGTTTGGGCTGAATTCACCACCCCGTGTGGGGTTACTGAACTGGGTCCCAGTTTGGGGGGGGGGGGGGGGGCAAACGAATGAGACGCCTGCAGGGGGGGCTCGGTGAAGATTTTATCACCTATTAAGGGAGGGATGGTGCTGTAATGGAGTGGTGGGGAGTAATTACCCCAGTCACCTCCCATCAGCTCTGGCTGACAAATTAAGATCAATGGCAGAGATAATTCTGGTCTCTGCCTGCCTTTTCAAAGTCAGGGGTGGGAGGGGGGGGGCTGAGGGATACCTGGACCAGAGAGACATGCTTGTGTTGGCGGGGGGGGGGTCGGGTGCCCGCTTCCTTTGATATGAGGGACCCCAAAAGATCAGCCATGTTGCCATAATGCTGACCGCCTAAACACGCCTGGCTCCCCCAGGTCTGTCAAGAAGGTTCCTGTGAAACTTCCTGTGCCTGTGATCGGAAGGTCGCCAGTTTGAACTCTGTCCTCGGAGGAATAGTCACATCTCCATTGGGCCCTGGTGCATAGCCCTTCAGACCCTGTGTGTGTGTGTGTCTCGTCTCCAGAAGGAGCACAGTTTCTGCACCTATGTGAGTTTTACATGCGTGTGTTTCTTGGGATATTATAAGATCCTTTTCCGGGCAGTTCCCTGCCCCGGATGCTCCTACGCACCCAGGAGGTTGCTGTCAGTGCAGCAGGTCCCTGACTTTTTATTTGCGACCATAGAGAACGTGCATTTTGAAACGGTCCCTTGTTTTATGGCGCTTAATAGGTGTGGGCTTATCGCCTCACTGCCAGTTACGTTAATGGTTTCCTTCCACAAATAAGTGACTCACTCTAGGAAACAGCCTGGACTCTTTATATATTTGCAATTTCCGCCGCAGCGTAATTTACAGGGATCGCATATTTAAAACCTGCAACCTTGCACATTACGGCTGTTGATTTGCAGCCAGAAATCATGTGATACAGTTCCCTCAGTGCACATGGCGTGTTATACTGGTGCAAAACTGGATTCTTCTACAAAGCTCAGAAATACCAGTCAGCCGTGGTGCACTCAGGATACAGACAGTCATGTGTGTTGGGCTCCCTGTGTTGTTCTGGGTCACACATGTGTGGAAATCCTCTGAATGATCTGACAGATAGCGTCGGCAGTTCTGCAAATTCCCGTTTTACACAATGAGTGACTTGAAAAGACACACAGCTACTTGCTGGAATTAAGACGAGAAATGCGGACGGAGAGCAAGTAAAGCATATTACTCATGTTGACTGTCTTGTTTGACCTTAACTGTTTTGCACCCCAAAGTAAATTCCTGATATGTAGAAGTACTTTGGGATAAATAAATGATTCTGATTCTGAAGAGGCAGACACTACCATGTAAACTAGATGAAACAGATTCCAGTAGTCAGGGATGGAACTTACTATGGAATTACTAAGAGTGACAATCGTTGTCATGGATACAGAACCTGAGCACGCCGGTGGGATGAAGGGCTACGGTGACTGAGATGGGAAGCTGTTACACTCCAGGGCGTGGAGGCCTGTCTCTCCTGTGGAGACCCAGCAGACTGCTGGGAAGATCTCCCACGTCGAGCTGTCAGCACTGGAAGCCTCACAACGCAGAGGTCGCTCCCTGCGCAGGTGTCAGGGAGGTGAGTAGGTGCCGGCGGCGAGGACGTGTGTGACACCCGGCCACCAAGGACGGCAATGTCTCTGGGCTGAAAGCCGTCCTTCGTCGCCGAACGAGAGGAGGAGAAATCAGGACCTGCCCACACCTGCTGTACGAAAGTGTCTGAGTAGATGGAAGGCGGCTCTCCACAGACGGAGGACGGGAGGGTCCCCTGGGGGGGCAGCATCACAGGACACGCCGGACACATCGCCACACGCAGCTGCCATGCAACGTCAGCTTCCGGGGACCACGTGTGTGGATCTGGGACCCTGTCGGTCTGTGTCCACCACTCCCTACCCCTTCACCCCCCCCACCCCACCCCAGGCTCTGGTCTCAGCACTGGAGTCCTGGAGTCACCCGAGTCACAGGTGTCCATTTCACAGTGTGCTGTAATGTGGACCTTAAAGGGATAGAGTTACCGGCGGACAAAGTCTCCCCTTTAACCCCGTAAGGCGGGACGAGGGCTGGGGCACCGGAGCTCGGACCTAATCCTAGTTTTATCTGCACCAGAGCTGGGGGAGAGGAAGAGATTAGTGTCTGCCCCGGACTTTATTCACTCTGTTGGCCAAACAAAACTTAACCAAAGCGGTAATTTTAACTTTTGCTGGTGTAGCTTGACTTGTCACTTAAATAACTGGCAAGGACACACACAGCTCATTTGCGTGTGGTTATGTGCTTGCTTGGCACTTGTTAATTTGCAGGTAGGCAGTATTCATTTATCGGTTTCTGCTAAATGCTATTTTTTTTTGGTTTTTGCTTGACCTGCCCTCCTGAGGAAGTCGACACTAGACACACAGTCGATATTGTAGCTGTTGAATAGCTATTAGCCCAAAGGGTTGACTTAAAAGCTATTTGTTTTTCAGTTTGGTTTTGTATTTTAATAGACTCGTGGGTGGTCCCCACAACCCTGAATTCATCTCGCATTAATGCTCGTCCTCACACTTTGCCTTCTCGTCTTTGGAGATGTCTGGACTTTGCTCGAATGCGGTTTGGATGTTGCGTGGTGAACTATCGATAGTTCGTGGCTCTAACGCTCATTGAAAGTCGCAAGTGAATATGCAAACGTGCGCAGGAGAAATGTATCACAACTATCTGACGGCCCTCAGCGCTATTGTGCAAAAGCTTGGTTTGAAAATGGATCACAAGCGAATGGGTTCCATCGGGTCGCTGTTGAGTGCTCTCTCCTCTCAATTGTCTTTTCTTGGGGGGGGGGGGGTGTCAATCACACAAAGAGTGCAGCTCATTCTGTCCCCCCCCTAGGCTCAGGTGGGTCACCCAGGCTTTTTGTCACTGCCCCCCCCCCCACCTTGTCACCACCCTTTAACAAGTCACTTCTGAAAAGGAGTGATCCCCCCCCCTGCCCCTATGGGAGGTAGGGCCATAGCTTTGTGTCACCACTGCAGGGCCTTGAGGTGCGGAAGAAGTTTGGGGTGGGGGGGGGGGGTCAAATGGATTCCACAGGGTCATCGCTGAAAAGCCAAAGTGAATGGTATCTCATTCATGTCACCTGTCCTGCTGCCACCTATAGGGGTCCTGCAGTCCACTAGAGGGGTGCAGTGTAGTATATAAGACTCAAACCCTGCACCCCCCTGGAACTGCAAGAAGGGACACCTGAAGTCAGGGGCCAGGGCCGGCCACATGACCAATCACAGCCAATCAGAATCATGTCGCCACACATTGCAAATGACTAGAATGGTGAGAGAGGATTGAAACAATTTCATTGGTCAGATTGGGCAGGTGTCACACCATTAGGCTGTGAGTACTGACCACACACACATATACTAGCTAAAGTAACAGTGGAAAAAGGATCTTGGTCGAAAAATCGTTTTTAGTAACAAGATAAATCTTGGGATGCAGATAAGCACTGAAAATTAAGCTGGGGTGCGAACTTCCTGCATCGAGATTGAATGTCGGCTTGTGGCCTCTTATCTCAAGCAAAACGGGGCAAACAAGCGCTATTGCCAGCATTTCCTCTCATCTCACTGCCAAGGGGGGGTGGG